GGTTCGTCTTCTACCCTGCAAAATAATTAGAGGGTCGACACTTGGGGGGAGCTACGTGCTCAGGCGTCGTTCCTTCCGCCTGCAAAATAATAGAAGGGTCAGGCGTCGTTCCTTCCGTCTGCTAAATAATCGAAGGTCTAGGGTGGGGACTAGGCTACGTGCCCAGGCGTCGTTACTCCCGCCTGCAAAATAATAGGAGCCGCGTGGGTCCGGCGTTGGGTGGATAANTGTATGCATAAGAGTGTGTGTGTGTGTGTGTGCGTGTCACGTAGCTCGCCTCTGCAATGAGAGGCCTCGGGTAGGTAAGGCGTGCGCGGGTGATACCGGTTGCTTGCGCAGGGCGCGATACCCAGGGATACCGATCTCCGAGGGCGGAATGTTCCGGGCCAATGCGTGCGTGCACGCGGAAGGACCNGCATTCCAACGGGCGTTATCGCGGATAGGATCGGGTAGGCGGAAGATGCATGGCTGACGGACAAGTCCCGATGTCTATGCTATCTCACCAACAGGGGTCTGTCTTCCCCCTCGTATAAAAACACGGAGGCAGGGACACGGGTAGGGGGAGATGGATCGGCACGCAAATCGGGCCCTCGGGCGCGTGATGCCACACATCTCACCAACAGGGGTCGAGCCTTCCTCTCGTATAAAAACACGAAGGCTGGCGCGCACGANAGGGGGGACATAGATTGGGGGGATCTTAGCTCGTTTAGCTTTTAGTTTATAAGTCCCGCGCGTATGTACACTCGCGTGCAGGGAGAGCATGGCTGCCGGTTGGCCGGTTCTCGGTCTGAACTTGAGCAGCGGAGTTCCTCTTGCACTTCCGGGAGGCGGGGGGCGTCCGGTTGCCGATGCCGGTCAGGTAAGGATCGTAACGCTCGGTGACTGGCGCTCCACCAACAGGGGTCTGCATTCCCCCTCGTATAAAAACACGGATGCAGGGACACGGGTAGGGAGGAGGTGGATCGGCACGCAAATCGGGCCTTTGGGCGCGTGATGCCACACACCTGCCACCAGGGGTCTGCTTCCCCCCAGGTTAAAAACACGGAAGCAGGGACAC